GCCCGCTTATGTTGGGGTCGTGCTTACGTTGCTGATATGATCTCCAGATATTGGTGCACTAGCCGTGACATCCAACGTGCCGCAGCCGAGCTCTCGCATCGTGAGTACGAGGGTCGCCATGTTCTCGTACTTTCCCTATTGATCACAGTACGTTGCGCGATGAAATCGCCCCAAGAGGTAGAGTGTGTTCGTAGCTATCCCCCTGTTACCAATGGGCGTTTCGTCCCATGCGCACCTCTGGATCTTGTGAGAGTGAAGCCATGGCCGATGAGTAAAGTTGGTATTGAGATTTGATTAGTTATTATGATTCCTAACTTTGCTTTGACTACCTCATAACATCATGCACCTCTGAATGGAGAGCCGTGAGAATTCTCGGCCCTATCAAGATTGACCACCTTGACGTTTTGCAGCCTCACCAACGCCATGTCGCGAAGTCGAATATGGGAAGAGCTCGTGTAATCGTTAATATGATATCGTGCTCTTTAGTGTAATTATCCGGTTTCTGTGAATGTGTTAGTTTGCATCTCTTGCTTATGGGTACCATGAAGAACTCACCAGTCTCAACACCGGGTTGCCTTCCGTCCAATCCTCCAGTGACCTTCTTCTTCAACTTAGACAGCCCGATCTTAGCCTCATCCTTTGCGAATTTCGCATTTCGTGCAGGCTTCCATTGCATCAACCCACGGTGCTTCCTCTCTTCAGTTCTCTTGTTCTGCTTGTTGACACTTCCATTTCCGCTCGATGATGTTTCATCGGTCTCGGCTGTGGTGCTTGTACGAGCTGTTGACATGGACTGGCGAGCTTGATGATCCTCGGTTGGCGATAGATCGGTCTTTTGTGACTTCAGTTGACCATTGCCTTTGCTTTGATCACCTCCGCCCTGGCCACCACTCATAGCCTTCGCGTTGCCTACCGTATCAGCATCTTCGACACCGATATCGGATGAAGAATAGTTTGCGCCATAGTCGTCATCAGAGTCGTCGTTATCCTCATTGTCGGATGGATGGTGACGGTCGTGTAGTGGCTCTTCAACGCCAGGTTCACGTCTCTTTTGGCGTCTGGTATTCATGTAGGCTTTAGGGTTGTCTCCAAAAGCACCTGACCAGTCCTGACCATCCTTCGCGAGCCACTGACGCTTCTCTTCCTCACTCGCATTCTTCAGGATGTCACGTCCTGTAGTCAATGACTGGTCATGCAGCTCCTGCACGCGATCTGGTATCTCCTTTTCGACCTTGTGGTTTCGGACACCTTCCGTAACACAAGCCTCCCATGTCTCGAAGGTCTCGCGTGTGTCATTGTCGGTGATGAAAGCAGCGTGCGCCTCGTCTGTACCGGCCTTGAAGCGAGCACGGAATTGCAGGCGGCCCACCTCTTGGAGGTCATCGAGACCAGGTTCCTTGTGGCAGTTTGATTCGGTGATGTAGTTCTGTGTGAGTCGAGCAGGAGCAGCGGTCTTCCAGATTGGGATGTTAATGTCTGCATCCTCGTTGTCGATGAAGTGCTGGAGCCAGATCACGGCATAAGCGTCGGCCTTGCGATGATTGCTGATGTGGAATTCGAACACGATCGGTGACCTGTAGCGGTGCTTAACTGGTAATCGGACGTTGTTCTTTCCATTGCCTTCTTCCAAATCCCAGTAATAGCCATCGCCTTCTTGGAGCTTGGTGGCAGCGCTGCGGCCTAGCTTGCCGGTGCTACCTCCAGTCCGCAACTTGATCTTGGGGTGATGGTTGTAGCCTAGAGCCAGGATGCGCTGCGACCGGAATTCGAAGGTGCCGACGTCCCAGCCAAGCATCTGCGGTGGTAGACGAGTTTCGATGCTGCGGAATAACAGAGAGATGCGTATGCGACCGAAACCGATACCACCGTCGAGCGGATACCATCGCGTAACCTGGGATGATGTTTCGAGGATGTCAGATAGCTTCAGTGGAACCACGCCTAGAATGGGGTCATGCTCCCTGTTCCTTTGGTCGCGCACCGTTACCGTGATGATGGCCGATCGCCAGTCACGAACGAATCGTTCGGTACCTGCGTTGAAGATGGGCTGAGATGAGACGGCCTTGGAACGAGTTCGGTAGACTAGCTCGTCGTTGAACAAGATCGTACAGTAGCTGTTCGGGAGATTGCCACCAGTCTCTTCTTTGCCTTCGCCGTAAGGCTTCGCAGGCTCGTACTCGCGACCTCTAGGGTCGGCGCTACCCTTGACGTTCTCGAGCTCTAGGTTCACGATCTGGTGGCAGACCACACTGCAGATACCGCTAGGCCAGAGAGGATCCGGTGGAGTGTGCATGACAGCATCATCCTCTTCGGAGTTGATGACACCCTTCTCGTCTTGTAGCTCAGGCTTGTCCTTCAACTCGTCTGGGAGAGACTTGTTCTTGCCGTCCGTTCGCATCTCTTTCCTGAATTTCGGCTTGGTGAAGTAGCCGACTTCCCAGTGAAGTTCTCCAGGCATCTCGCTATCGGCATCCATACCAGCCAGCTTTGAAGTCTGCGGGTACATCTTGCCGGGGTGTTGAATCATCTTCTGCATGGAAATCTCGACCTTTCCGACAATGTCATCGGCGGTGTGTCGGTCGGAGTCCCAGAGTTCTACGCTCAGATTCTCATTGGCTTTGATCAATTCCGGTCCAACAAGAACAGCTGCTGTCTCTTCCCAGATCGGATTCAGGTCATCGGTAATGACCCGAGTGCAGTACATGGGTTTTCCGTATTTTGAGAAGGCGATAGTGATGTAAGGGTCACTTCCACCATGTTTCGATCCGCGTTTGTCTTGCTTGCTCAGGCCAACAGCGCGGTGAATACGGATCCAGAGAACACCGAGGGCTTCCGTGTCCTTCTGAACGGAGTCGCCCTGGAGAATAGCTCGCATGTCGATAGACATGGACTTGGGCGCAACATACACTAGGCTGATTAGCATGTTTTCTTTCTCCGTCTAGAAGGGCTCACTTACTGCTTGCCGCTGCCTTGATGGCGTAGTTGACGAAGTTACTGATCAATGGAAGGTTGAGGATGTTTACACCCTTCTCCACCATGGGTGTACATCCGGCACTGACCTGCGGTGCGCCCATCAACGTGAAGGTCAATGTCTTCAGGAAAGGAGGCTCCGGTGTCATGTTGAGACGCAGGCGAACTGTGCCGACAAGTCCCTGCAATTCGACGAAAATGGGCAGCGGAACACCGAAGAGACCCTTAATTCCCAAGTAGAATACCAGCTGCATGTGCATGTTTCGTGCCCTCTCCGAAACTCGCTTTCCACTGGGGCTCGCGTGATATGCGAAAGAGACCTCCAGATTGTAGTAATCGCCACCTTCTTCGTCTGCTGCTGCTTCTTGTGGGTCTTTCGTCTTTTTGTTCTCTTCGTGGATGGACCTCTTCATGTCGCCCATGTGTGAGTCTGGAAGTGCTCGCAAGCTAAGGATGCGCAACGGGTTGCTTCCTTGGTTGATTTCGGCCACGCGGACATTTTCGATGACACCGGGTACGGAGGCCTGCATGACATCTTCAAGCATGTCCGCAACCCCGGAGAACATGTCGGGATTGATGAGGCCCCAAACAATAGCGAGAAGCGTGTTCATCCATTCGACGGACTCGGGTAGCAAATTTAGAGAGGCCTACAAGATGGTTAGCTATCGCTCATGTGGGTGGACTTTCGCAAATACACACCATCTGGCCACGGACTTGCTCGCTGTCCCACTCTACCTCTCGTCCGCTGCGCACGACTTCCTTCATCCAGAGAAATACGCCAGAAGCCAGGCACATGCCGAGTGGTATGAGACCCTTCAGTGCGCCACCGAACATCTTGCCTACGACAACTGTTCCAATCAAGATACCCGCGCACAGGTAGTTGGCTCGTGTTTCGAGTGCGGCAAACATGGGCTCGTAGCTGACTGAGGGTGTCGGGTGGAAGAGAACGTTCGTCTTTTCGCCGTGGATAGGTACGTCGGTCGTCGTGCCTTCGGCGACTGGATCTGGTGGAGCTGTGACATCCTGGTTGTGCTTGTAGTCTTCCAGAGATTGGGAGGCGTCGGTCTTGATAGGCTGCAGAGTATCAGCTAGTGAATATGGAGCCGGCATAGAAAACGTACTGTTTGCTTATCAAGGTTTGCATTTGGTATGACTAGATGCGGGTTCTCGACCTCGTCCATCATATCCTCGTTGACATCGGCAATGGTGACTTCCCTACCAGTCGTAGGGTCAGTAACCACCTGCTCTGTACCCTTTATTTGTCTTTCCTGCTGCTTATGGGGTTGCGATTGTTGCTGGTTCTGCTGCTTGGATGCTTCGTCTATTCTCTTGTCCCGAGCCGCCTTGTCCTTGTCCAGATTTTCGACGAACTGCCTGACGGTAGGGATTGGGTTGTGACCCGAGTAATGCCCTCCCGGAGCGTGTTGCTGCTGTTGTGACGCCATGATGTGCTGTATCTCCTCCAGAGTGACCGCCCAAGTCAAAGTCAAGGGTGTGGAGGGGCGAAAGGGCTCACAGCAGTTGCGGCTGTTGCGGGAGGATCGAGGATCGTATGGGCCGATGGAGATATATTGGGAGAGTTTGGGCCTAGCGAAGATCTCCCCGCTTAAGAAGCGAAAGCAAGGAACAAGCAAGCTGCAAGGCCATAAAAGAGTTCCCGCGCGCGGGGCTGCCAATTGCAGTCAATGACGTAGGGCAAGTGCGCCCAATGCTGCAACAGGAGCAGCCGCGTTACCTTTTTGCGCACGACGCGTACCCAACCTTCCAAGGTTTGCTTGTGCCACGGCAAGAAGCTGTCAAAATCTCCACTGTGGCTGGAATTCTGGTAATCACCCTGGCTGTCGCGTTCATGGATCGCGAGATCCGCCTATAATGACGTCAAGGCACATGGTGTGGCTGCATTGGCCAATCAGAGCATGGTGGGGCTGATCGTCCCCTCCACCTTGGAACGACTCATGATCTCCTTGCTCACGCCTTGCTAACGGAAGTTACCCGCGACCTATTTCGAGCGCGCTATTGGCCAGGTCTACATTATGTCAGGCTGGTTCACTCTCTTTACCAATTGTCGCTACATCCTCAATGGCGAGCTTGTTGAGGACCATCTCGTTATCTCAGATGAGACCGGACTCATCCTGAAAAGAGAAGGCTACATTGGCGGCGAGGCTATCGACTTGGAAGACACTATCATAGCTCCAGGCTTCCTGGAACTGCACACCAATGGGGCAAATGGCTTCCATTTCACACACTATGAGGACGAAAAGACATATGCGACCAAGATCGATGATATCGCAAGGTACTACGCAACTCAAGGTGTCACCGGATTCTGGGCAACCCTGCCAACTATAAAGAGTAATGAATTCCAAAAGGTGAGACAGATGTAGCATACTGTGACACCTTTGTCGTGCAATTGAACGATCGATAAGTGCATACATTGTGCCAGTCTACTGACACAGCTCCAGATTCTTCCCTCTTTGAAGCCACGGCAGATTTCCTCTTCAGCATCTCTGCTCGGAGCTCACACCGAAGGGCCATATCTACATCCAGATAAGAAGGGCGCGCACAACAGCTCCCTCTTTCACCCATGCTCAACCTCCCCTTCGACTGTGTACGGATCTACTAATCTGCAATCTACTGTCAAGCTTGTGACCGTCGCACCAGAACTTCAAGATTCAGCAGCACTTATCAAATCGCTTACGTCGCAGGGCATCAAAGTAGCAATGGGCCATTCAACTGCCACGTATGAACAAGGATTGACGGGGTTGAAAGCTGGCGCAAGTGGATTAACACATACCTTGAATGCCATGCCAGCTTGGGCATCACGAGCGCCTGGATTAGCTGGCCTGGTCTCGCTACCGGAAACAGGAAAGGTCGCACCGCCGTGGTATACCATCATTGCGGACGGAGAGCATCTGCATCCCAATACCGTGTCTTTGCTTCATCGCTCAAGCCCAAAGCGATCGATTCTGATAACAGACAGCATTGAACTTGCTTCACTCAAGAATGGAACATATCCTGGCCACTCGCAGATTCCTTTTGAACAGGTGAAGAATGGTACACGGGCGACGATTGCTGGAACCGACACCTTGATTGGTGGCTGTATACCACTCCAGCAGAGTGTGAGAAACTTGATGGATTGGTCTGGATGTGGAATCGCAGAGGCTGTGGGCACGGTTACAGAAAATGTGGCTGCGTTTATGGGCGTTGACGGAGAAGGTGGAAGAGGTGTGCTAAAGGAGGGTAGAAGAGCAGACTTGACGGTATTGAATGAGCAAGGCGAAGTGCTACAAACGTGGGTGGCGGGACACAAAGTATGGGACAAGGAAGAAGACATCAGGGCACACGAGGACGATGGTGAAGCAAGAGGCTGACACTTAGATACACGAGAGCACTGTTGCTAAAGAGCCTGTTGACAATGCGACACTAAACAATTACAACGTCGCTGGACTGTCAGCACCTTCCTACATATAAACGCTGTGTAAGTCGAGGGCTAGCACGAGCGAGCAGCACTTGCGTGAAGTCAAAGAACGTGTGAAGCATATTGACTATATAGTCAGATCTCGAAGCACAAACGACCTCGTCTCTCTAAGCATCGATACATTTATTGTACATACTACCCTAAAACATGAACATTGAGAAGTCTGCCCAGTCTGTAGCGCACACTCCTGCACCCGAACCACAGAAGCCGTCCCCACCCCTTCTGATCTTCGTTCTCGGCCCTCCCTGTGCCGGCAAGTCGACGATATGCACCATTCTAGCCAAACACTTCAACCTAGACCACTTCTCCCTCGGCAATGAACTCCGTAATCTGGTCTCCTCAAACTCGACTGGCCATCCCGCTCGCATAAAATGCAAGCTGTCGGTAGAGGAGCTGGGAGATCTCGCCAAGAACGTCAAAGCAGGAACACTGGCGCCGTCCAACAGAACACCAAAGTATGTCCGGGAGCGCATCTTTCCTGATGGTGTCGTTCCGCCAAACGTACGAATCCTGATCGACGGCTTTCCTAGGGGAGTAGATCGGTGGGAGACTTTCAAGGAGAGTGTCAAAGACATATGGCAGCCCGACGGCAATACCTGGGTACTGGCATTGTGTACTGATCGGGAAGTGGCAAGAGAAAGGTTTGTGAGTCGCGGAAGGGCAGGCGATGTCTTCGATAAGCGATATGACAGTCATGAGGATTCTGTCGGCGACATCATCGCTGCGATGAAGCAGGATGGGATGAATGTCATTGAGTGTGAGACTGGGCTGGGCTTTGATCCGCAAGACATAGTCGGGATCGTTGAGAGCATCTCACATTTGGTGGAGGGCAATCAGGCATAAGCAGAGGCTCTCCATGTCATGCCTAGCTGATCAGATCTGATCGTGTCAGCCATCTCTTTTAAGAGAAATTGCATTGTCGCATGGACCGATCTTCCCATCGTATGCGTAGCCATTAATGGAAAATGCCCAAAGCGCATTCATTTCATACGCATCCAAACAAGCTATCGCGTGTCTTAAGGTGATGTATCGCCACATTCGAGCCGCTAATTCAGGTGAAATCCAAAGCAGTAGATACCGGACGAGATATTCTTCTCACGCGCACAAGTCCCGATCAGTGAAGACCAGGCTGCTTTTCGGACAGGCCATACGTAATGCCGGGATGCCCTGAGCGTGCGCGATGATGAAGAAAGCTCCTCGGCAGCCAGCGACAGATTTTGTCACCAGGCCCCGCTTAGTCACCCACGCTAAAATGGCGCTACCATCTCTCTCCGACATTTCAATCTTTTCCTACAGCTCCAACATGGAAACCCTCGACAACACTGAGTGGGATGTTCTCATCGTAGGCACTGGCCTGCAGCAGTCGCTTCTCGCTTTGTATGTATCTTGCTCGTCGGCGAGGCTGGACGCGATCTGACTGACGCAGCGCGTGAAGAGCTTTGTCGCGCTCGGACAAGAAGATCCTCCATGTCGACGAGAATGACTACTACGGCGGTGCCGAGGCTGCCTTTAGCTTGCAAGAAGCTGAAGAGTGGGCGCAGCGGATGAATGGTGGTAAGTAAGGATGGCGTTGAATCGCCGGGCTGTCGCTAACGCATCCTAGAAACAGCGAATGCTGCCTTCTCCAACGTCGCAATTACCAAGCCCGAGGCTACTGGCTCAGCGCCCGCGCTATCCTTCTCGAGGGCATACAGCCTGTCTCTAAGCCCCCAGGTCATCTACGCGCGCTCCTCGCTGCTTGGCTACCTCGTCTCGTCGAGGGTCTACCGTCAACTCGAGTTTCTTGCTGTCGGTACCTGGTGGGTACACTCTCCCGATGCACAGGGCGAAAGCTCGTCATCGCATGGAAGACTGTTGAAGGTGCCCAACGGCCGCGAGGATGTCTTCCAGGACCACGACCTCGACTTCAAAGCCAAGCGCGCCTTGATGAAGTTCTTGCGCTTCATCAGCGAGTACGAGGAACAGACCGAAGTTTGGGAGGAGCACCGTCAGCAGCCCTTCTCGAGCTTCTTGTCGGAGCAGTTCAAGGTTCCAGCCAGTCTGCAAGGACCGCTGATGGCCCTGACACTCTCGCCCACTGGGGCAGACCGTACGACTACCGAATACGCTCTACCGAGAATCGCGACACATCTACGTTCGATCGGAGTATTCGGTGCTGGTTTTGGCGCCGTCATACCGAAGTGGGGTGGTCTGTCAGAGATTAGCCAGGTCTCATGTCGAGCCTGTGCTGTGGGTGGTGGTGTCTATGTCCTTGGAAAAGGCGTAACTCCACCCACTGACAGCGCCCCGGAGACAACCGAGAATGGTACAAAGCTTCGCCTGAAAGATGGCGAAGTTGTCACCGCGAAGTCGATCGTAGGAGGAAACTCCTCATCTGCTTCTAAGGATACATACTGCAAGTCGATGACCATTGTGTCGTCCTCTTTGTCGCATCTATTCCCTCCCATCGCCGAGGAAGCACCAGCGCCAGCCGCTGCTGTCGTTGTCTTCCCGCCCGGATCCTTGACGCTGGAGTCGCAAGCTGAAGAGCTTCCGCCAGTTCACGTCTTTGTGCATTCGAGCGACACTGGCGAATGCCCGTCTGGTCAATGTAAGTTTTCTCTATTACTTCACCCCTACGCTGTTATGATGAACAAACCTTACGAATACTTATCTACATTGTCTGAACACCATTGAAGACAATAACTCTGACAACCTGATACAACGGCACATCCTCTACATTGTCAATGCATGGTTTTCTAGCTTCACGTTACTGACTATACCTCAGGTGTACTATACGCGTCGACATCGATGAGCGGTCGAGATGGGTTTGCCCTGCTTCAGAAAGCTGTAGACTCGCTGTTGTCTGCTCATGACGTCTCGCCATCTCCTACCATACTATGGTCTGTCGAATACCAGCAGCAAGCGTCATCCGGATCAGAGACGTTACCGACCGATACCGACCATGTTGTTCGCTTCCCACCTCCGTCTATGGATCTCGCCTTCGATGACGCAGTGCTTGACAATGTTAAAGAGGTGTGGCAGAAGATTGTAGGCGACGATGCTGGCGAGTTCCTGGTCTTCCAAGACCGAGAAGTATACGATGATGATGAGTAATGATCTGATATGTAATGAACCAATGAAAAACGATACCGCTACATCTTCTACACATTTCTTCGTAACGACGGATGGAGTGCAAGTGCAACCAAGAATAAGTGATCGAGCGAAGGGAGTATTGAATGAAAAAACCCATGTACAATGTTGAACCCGTGCCATCTCACCACACCCTATAGCGGCCCTTGACCTTTGATGTTTCTTTCTATCATGCAACCCTGGGCGTACTGTTCGCCTTCCCATTACATCTCCCGTCAGAATACTCCGCACACACCCGTTATCTCTAGATAACCAGCTCCAAATCCCGCCATTGATATCCAGCAACTTCCCGGTAAGATCGTTCCCCTCAGGTCATCCACCTCCCCTACATACGCGGGACAGAGTGAAGTCTCCTCAATGCATTCCCCCGACCTCTCCTTCTCGCTCCGAGTCCCTCTCCGCTGCGGGTAGACGTGTGTTGACAGGAGCAAAAGCCGCCTCGCCCGTCTCCTCCTGCTGCCGCCTACGTCCCGCAACCTGGCTTAGTGTTGTCCATGAAGTCGTAGTGGAAAGAAGCGACCGCGGCGGGGTCATCGTACTCCGTAATGTCGTGAGTGAAATAACTGTCACCACCACTCCTACGCCCGGTGTGGTTGTAATAATGAATGTACTACCTGACTCGGTGGTGGACGTGGACGTAGACGTGGACTTGGGTGGTGTAAGTGTAGGATGAGGTTGACCGGGCGACAAGATGTCTAGGACATCGTAGATGCTTTGTAAAGCTGGTGAGATAGACCGCGGAGATATGGGCGATGGCTTTGTTGTGAGTGTTGTGGCCGAGCTTCCGCTTTGCGCTAGAGCGACAGCGAGGATGGGTAGCCAGAGGGCGAACAGCAGGCTTGTGATGTGCATGTTGGTAGTGGTGCGCTGTGTGAGTTGCGTGAACGCGACGTGGTTGAAGTAGGTAAGTGACTAAGTAGGCCGGTGGTGGGGGTCGTGACAGAATGAGCGGTTGAGTGGATTCGGGGAAGTGAAGGGGAAGTAATCAGAGAGTGACTGGCAAACGAGCGAGTGGGTCGTGAGTCAGTTTGGTATCAGAGCTAATTCCTTCATATTTACGCCACACAAGTCGCCTTTGTAATAAGTACTTTGAGCAACGTAATCGTGGGGCGGAGACTGAAAAGCGCGTGCGGCGTGGTGTTGACGGGCGACAGACACGATCAGACAAAGACCTGGACGGTTCTGCAAAAGGTCTTGAGGGACACATTACGAGAGAAATATCACGAGAATCCGAAAAACCCTGTTTTGTCATTTCTGATCAGCGATGTGGTGGTTTCATTCCTGAATATACTTCTTAAGACTCCTCAGCCTCTCCATTGCCTGCTCCAGTACGTCGTCGTTCTTGCACACGGCGAACCGCAGCCAATCTTCCACGATGTGCGCGTTTCCTGGAGTGAAGAACTCAGTTGGAGGAATAGCCGCTACACCAACTTCCTTGATCAGGAACCAACTGAGCTGGAAGTCTCTTGGTCTCTCCGCAACGTGAGGAGGGAACTCATAGTCACTTGGCAACTTGACCTTGGACATGTTGACCAAAACAAAGTATCCACCTTCAGGATCCGAGTAGGGTAGCCCAAGCTCATTGAAGACAGCGGTGAACTTGTCGATCTTGGCCTTCATCTCCTTCTTCGACTCGTCCCAGAAGTTGTGGGCATCAGCTTGCTCGAACCCAATTGCGGTGGCTTCTTGGAGCGGCGAGACACTGCTGTAGCAGATTCGTGTGTGGGCTGCACTGACGTACTTGATCAAGTGCTCAGGTCCGATCAGCCAGCCTACTCTCCAACCGGTTGCGTAGAAATTCTTTCCTCCTGAACCGACTGTCAATGTGAGCTTGGCGATCTCTGGTGACAGAGTGGCGACGCGAGTAAAAGGGACGTAGTATAGACGGTCGTAAACCTCGTCTGAGAGGATGATGATGTTGTGCTTGACGCACAGGTCGCCAATGGCTTGCAGCTCATCCTTGGAAAAGACCTTGCCAATGGGGTTGTGCGGTGAGTTGATAACGATCATGCGGGTCTTGGGTGTAATGGCAGCCTCCAGCTCCTTCATGTCCAGACTCCACTCGGCTGCAGACGTTGTCTTGGTCGCGCCGTCTTTGGGAGGATGCAAGGGCACGTAGACGACCTTCCCGCCTGGCATCTCGATGTTGCTGATGTACTGGTCGAAAAAGGGCTCGAAGACGATGACCTCGTCTCCCTCTTCCAAGAAGCCCATGAAGGCGCTGAGCATGCCCTCATTTGCGCCTGTGGTGATTGTGACTTCCTTGTCGGGATCTATGGTGCGACCGAAGAAGGGCGAGTAGGCATCGGCAATGGCCTTCTTTAACCGCGGGCGGCCTTTGGTGGGCGAGTACTGGTTGCAGTCTACTTGGTCGAGCGCAGCCTTGGCGGCATCGAGGACGAACCTGGGAGGGTTGTAGCCAAAGAAGCCCTGGCCCATGTTGACGATGGGCTGCACAGGTGAGGCCGCGGCGGCTTCATTGACGATGGACCTGTGGCTGTTAGTTGTTGTCGCATACCAAGGCTAATTGACGTACCAGACATCCTGCTTCTGGCCCGCGACTCTCTTCGCGGGCTTGAAGGGGTCTTCCCTCCGTGTTGTCGCTGACATGGCGCGGAGAGGGGGACAGCTGGTGGGGCACCTTGTCGCTGCGGATGGTCTCTTGGTTGAGGTTCGGATGGATCTGAGAGCCGGAGTCACGATGCTTCGCATGGCAATGGCATTGGAAGATGAGTAAACCCAGAAGAGTCACGAACTGCAGCTTCTAGCATTGCGTGCTCCAGTCCGTCGTCTGCCGTCATCAAGCGGGGACAAATCCGAGATAGCGCCGGCCTCGCTCGTCGCGTTACCCCAGAATAATTCGCGTCGCGTGCGCCGAGCCACTCATCTTCGACATGGTCGACTGCCCCATCTGCACTAAGGCTGTCAAGGACGCCCGAATCAACGAACACATCGACAGCGGCTGCGAGGATTTCCTGCTCGAGCCAGAACCACAGGGCACGCCAAACCTGGGAAAGGCGTATAGCTTCTTTACGCCGGGCGCACGCAAACCTCCGGGCGCGACACAGAAGAATGGACACCCAACGTCGTCACCACCCGCACAACCAGCACCGCCAACAGCGACACAGCGGATAGAGATATCAAAGACACCCCCGCCAGGTACTAAACGGCCTCTCGAAGAAGCGTCGGATACACAAGCCAATGGCGAGCAGCAATCACCATCTGCCCCGAAACGGGCGCGGAAGCTCAAGGCTGTCGAAGATGCCATGCCACTGGCGGAGCGCATGAGGCCCATGTCATTGGACGATGTATATGGCCAAGAGCTGGTGGGACCTGGCGGCGTGCTTCGAGGCATGGTTGATGAAGGCAGACTACCATCAATGGTGCTCTGGGGAAGACCTGGAACAGGTACTACTTTCTTTGTATCCTCCACTTTCCAATTGGAAGCTGACTCCGTATCTAGGGAAGACCACGATCGCCAGACTAATCGCCAACACGTCCGGCTCACGCTTCGTCGAGATCAACAGTACAAGCACAAAGCTGGAGGAAGTGCGCAAGATATTCGCAGAGGCCTTTCGAGACCTGCAGCTGACAGGTCGAAAGACCATCGTCTTCTGCGACGAGCTACATCGCTTCTCAAAGACACAACAAGACGCCTTCCTTGGGCCTGTAGAGTCAGGCACCATAACCCTCATAGCCGCAACAACCGAGAATCCATCATTCAAGGTCATCTCAGCTTTGCTGTCAAGATGTCGGACCTTTACGCTCGATGACCTCAAAGAAGACCACTTGGTGCGAATACTCGAGCGCGCAATGGCCGCAGACAACGTCACATCCCCCATCCTAGATAAGCCGATGCTGGAATACTTCGCCCGCTTCTCTGACGGCGACGCCAGAACAGCCCTGAATCTTCTCGAACTCGCGATGAGCCTTGCGAAGCAGCCTGACATGACCAAAGAGAAGATACAACAGAGTCTCACCAAAACCCTCGTATACGACCGCGCCGGCGACCAACACTACGATACCATATCCGCAATGCACAAGTCAATACGAGGCTCTGACCCCGACGCGGCATTATACTACTTAGCACGCATGCTCGAGTCTGGCGAGGACCCAAGATACATAGCCCGTCGGCTCATCGTTGTCGCATCCGAAGACGTTGGACTGGCAGACAACTCGATGCTGTCCCTTGCGACAGCCACATACTCTGCTTGCGAGAAGATCGGCATGCCAGAATGCCGCATCAACCTCGCCCACGCAGTGACCGCCCTATCCCTCTCGCCGAAATCAACGCGCGCATACCGGGGTATGAACAACGCCTACGATGCGCTGAAGGAGCCAGGCGTCGCAGCACTGCCCATTCCACATCACATCCGCAACGCACCTACCAAATTGATGAAGGACATGGGCTACGGAGAGGGATATAAATACAACCCGCACTACCTAGACGGCAAAGTGAAACAGGAGTACCTACCCGAAGCACTCCGTGGTCGTTCGTTTTTGGAAGACACCGATCTGGGAAGCAAGGTTGACCCAGACCTTGTCGACGACGACGAGTTGATGCCAGAGATTGACTGAGCGCTGCTTTGGATAAAATTGGGGGCGAGAGCTGAGAACATTGCTTTGGCGTTTTGCATAGCGAATCCGATACCCATTACGCGCTTCTCTTTGTACGAATCACACACCGATAGTGCCGATGCTACTTGATATACCAGCAAATCCCATCTTGCCAAACCGAGAAGCTGACCAAACTACGTTGCGTGTGGTCAGGAAGCGGAAGGCGTTTGCTGACACCCGCGTCATTACCACCTTGTGATACGCACCCACCTCACGGCCCCAAACACAGTTTCCTTCATTGGTCACTGCATCCTGTGCATCACACGCTGACGTTTCTCACATATCTGAACACTAAACCTGAACACGACGTGCGTCATCTGCCATCTTATCCACCTGACCGGACCTTTGCGCAGTGCGTCATCTGGAAATGGACAACATCACCATTGGGGTTATCGTCTTCTTCATCATCAGCTCGTGGTTTGGACATGCCTTATTACATCGTGTTATTAAGACACCGGCGCAGTATCAGAGACCAAAAGTAGATATGAAAGAGACATAGCTTGGAATGTGGTGAACTAGGAGAACATCATTGTAGTTCGAACGTGAACGGTAAGACCGTCTGTTTACATCCTGAATTACTATAGTATCATACATACTAACAAGCCCCAGGGCGACCGTGCCAATCAGCACACAATTCCACAGTCCCTTTAGCCAACTCGCACATCAACACACCTACCCCTACTTCCTCTTTCTCGCCTTCCCCTTCCCCTTCGCATTACCGCCGGCGCCTCTCTTCTTCACAGGCGTCTTCGCACGTGCGGTTTCAACACCCGTATCCTTGTTGTTCTCCATCTCTTTCGTGCACATGGCACAGTACCATTCTTTATTCTTCGGAACCGGCTTGGAGATGCCGATACAACGTCCATGATACCATCCGATGGGACAAGCGTCATTGTCACAGCCGATCATCAAGCTGCCATCGTCAAGGTCGCGACAAGTGCAGTGAGAGGTGGTATCGACTGGATCTTGAGCTGGAACTTTGCCTTTGCCTTTGGATTTAGCTGGCGTTTTGGGCTTTGCTGGGGGCTTGGGTCGAGCTGGAGCCTTTGGTTTAGGCTGAGGCTTGGGCTTGGGCTCGATCTTAAGTTGTTCTTCTTTCATATCCTTAGCAGCCTGAGTCTCGACTTTAATCCGAGCAGACTGGCGGCGAGTGCCTTGGACAGCTTCTGGTTCGGGGGTCGCGGGAGCAGGACTGTTTGATGTGGCTTTTGGTATAGCTTGGCGTACAACTGCAGTAATGGCAGGAGCAGTAATCGGCTGAGGAGAGGGCGGTGCAGACGCCTCCAATGTCTCGGGCGCGGGCGGAAGTTCATCTGCACCGCTCAGCTCAAAATACAAGTCTTCTTGCCTCACAAACCTACCCTGTGCGTCTCTCCTACCCTCTTCAATCTTGTACTTCCGGAGAATCTGTCCTTCTTCCCCTACCATTTCAATACATCTTTCAGACACTTTGACTCCACTGGAGCTGCCAATGTACGCCGCCGCCGACTTTTTCATGGCGTGTTTAGCTTCACCCAAACTACCAAAAGTGACGACCAAGGACCGCTCTGCTCCTTCTTCCTCTTCGTAGTTGTCATTGAGATACTCAACACACAGACCATACTGTACTGGCAAAGCGTCCAATTCGCTCGCACGGCTCCACTGCTTCACGCCGTCCGCTTCTTCACTGGCGGGGAAGACAATATCCATCTCGTAGCGTAGAACGACATGGTTCTTGCTATTCAGGATCTCGTAGAGACGATTGGTGCTGAGCTCCTTTGTCGCACCCCACTGGACATTCGCTTCGATCGCTTGGGTAGCGTGGTCACGCATGGCCGTTTGGGTGGTCTCGAAGACGGGGGATGCGCTGAGGAGCTGGGGTCTGGCGATCTTCGGATCTTCGAGGAGGTTGTGGGAGTACACGGCGTAGTGCTTTGTAGAGCGTAGGGTCTCATCGGTGGACAGTCTTTGTGAGTCTAGTCGCGGTCTCTTTGGAGAGTCCCGAGGAGCAGGGTAGGGGTCGGCCGATGGCTTCCGCTTCAGAGGAGTCGGTGTGGCCGGAGGTAGAGTCATGCTGGACGGGATGGTGTCGGTCTGGAGGATGGGTGGTGGAGCTGTTGCTGACGACATGGTCGCGCTGGTCAAGCAGCAGCGAGTTACAGATCGATTGGTCTCAGTATAGTGGAAGATCCCAGGTTAACGGTCACTGTGCTGTAGAAAGCAATTGGGCAAGATGGGAGCCTAACGGTGATATCGCGAATGTCCGTGCTTTTGTTTTTGCTAGCGGGAAATGCTCCTTTGATGCTGTCGCAGTGAAAGAAGAGAGCAAGCGGCAGGCAGCCATAGCTAATCCCAACTGCTCGTCCGCGACGTAGAGACGCGGAGACGCGGAGACGCGGAGGAGTCGAAGTAGCAAGTGTCGCCACGCAATAATGCGAATATAGTGTTTAGCATTTTTATCTTTGACTGTAAGCTGCCTTGGGTATCACTAAAATAATTTTCCAAATTTGATGAGTATCCCGCCTACCCATTTGATCACACATCAGACTGGAACTGATATTGGTACATAATCCATTGGTCGGGGCGTCGGGGTCGGCCAATGGATTGTGTACCAATATCAGTTCCAATCTTACGTGTGATCAGATCGGTAGGCGGATTTAGTGTAAACTAGCAGAAGAAGACGCCAAACCAATGCACTCTTTGTAATGTATCAAGCCCTGACTGCTACTTCGGCAGCTTTCACGTGATCTACCGTAGTCCGTCCCAAGCCCTCTTTTGCGTAAAAGTCCATAGGATAGAGGTTCTTTCTGTCCTTGGCCTCGACTCTCCTCACTGTGTCGTCTTCCTCCAACCATGGTGCGTCTCTTACTCCAAGCGTGACAAGCGCCTCATAAGGACTTAGCAACGGCCTGGGAAACGCGTAGCCCCAGTCAATGCTCAATCTAGGACACGCAATCTGTACCCAAGCCTCTACATCGGAAATCATTGCCAGTTTACCAGGGAAGATCTCGGACATGAGCAGATTTACGCATTTGATGCCTTGGCGTGCCAGCTCGTTTTCGATGAGCGTCAGTGTATGTGGGTTTCCTTGTCGTCCTAGCGAACCGAGGATAACGCCCCATGTACGAGCTTTCCGAGCTGTGAGAATGGCAGTGCGGCGTAGATCATATAGTGAATCGTGTTCATAGGTTTCGTGTGTCAGCCTCCGCGAGTATGGGTCGTAGCGGTATGCGGGTATGTGTGGATTGGCGATCATAGCACTCTCGAGGTGGAAGCGTCCGTCGCCAAGATATAGTATCATGTCCGGTACTTCCTCCTCTTTGCCTCGCGCATTGAGTTGGCCCGGCTTGATGGCCATCGACGGTGACGTGCAACCTAGGATCTCGCCCTTGGATAGAGGCGCGATCTGTGGCACAAATGGGTTGTATCCCTCCTTCCGTAGTATCGGCACGATGCCATGTATTGTAGCGTTGAACTGAATGGTGCCAACTAACGCGATGGTCTTTCCCACGGGGAAATTCTCGGTGATGGTGTTGATCAGATGTTGGGTATCGATACTGATGGAGACGAAGATGTACAGTGTTGCGATCTTCGTTACAGCTACCGGTATCAGACAGCTGTGCGCGTAGTGTATGAGCAGATCGCATCCCAACGCTCTTGCAGTGTAATCGTCTATGCAGCAGGCGCCGTATGTGACATCACCCATTATCAGCGTCGAAGTACCGGGACAGAATCGCGTCAGGATATCGGATATAGTCGTCGCGAACAGCAGCAGGCCCTCGGGGAACTGCAGGGCTATCGACTTGGCGCCGGATGTCCGTATGCGATGTATACATTTGTGGATCTCGAAGCTGTAGTTTGGAGGCAGGAGGGCGATGGCGTCGTTGATCTCCTGGTCGTGGAGGATGTCGTCGGGGATGGCGTTCAAGACACGAGCAGTACGTCGAGGCTGGGCAACTTGAAGGGGCGTTAGCTGTCTGCGCTATCGACAGTCCGTGTATGGGCTCCTCACACCTTGTATCGCGCTGGAATCCTCAATGTTGGCATTGGGATCCGCTTGCTGCTCGCCCGCCTTTTCCGCCGTCTTTCTGCCCACAAAACGTCGCTTCGGTTGTTTCTGCACGGGCACAGCCTCTTCTGGCATGCCCTGCTCGGCATCGGGCCCCAGGTTGGTCGCAGCTCTGTCGTCTTCCATTTTGCGCGTCGATGTCGTGGTTGAGCGCGTCGCGGGGTCGGGTGCAATCATGTGGCGGGGCTCAAGACTTTTTTGGTAGGGCTGAACTCAGGGTCCAAAAGTCGCCTTCTCCTTCCCTCCCCACACCCCTCCCATGCGTCAACGCGAGAGTAATCATAAATTAGTTTTGTTGACGAGCATTGAAAAATTAATGGTTGAGATGGACAGGTTGTTGAATTCAGGGCATCCATATCAACGAGCAAGCTATGCACCAACGCCTTCGAGACCAGCGTCTGTCTGAACACAGGAATGTCTGTCATATATTACGTCTCGCCATATATCTAGCTGCCATCTAATGTTCCCTGGATCGCCTCGCAGTTACTGACGCTTCACAGCTTCGCGAAGATCTTATGCATACGCGCCACGTTACGGCCTCCGTCCCGTCTGACGACTTCGCCTTCGCCTTCGCCAGGGTTGGCCACTGGGGCGTCTGGCTTGGATACATACGCGATCATGCAGGGAGGCTCGCGCATCGTCACGCACTTGAAGACTTGGATCTTCGTGATGTACATGTTGCCCAGCTGCGCTTTGTGCTGAACCAGCAGATATGCGAAACCTTGCATGTTCGGCGTGCCTGGTCACATGTTAGCCAACCCTTCTCAGCCTTTGGTAAGCGAAGAGGCTTGTGTATCACTACTGGAGTGTGCAAGTCTTACCCATGAGTGCGTTCATTTCGTCTGTCCCCCGTTCGAACGTCTGCCCTGGAAAATCTTCTAGCTCAATTTTCCCTCGAGTGCGCAATGCTCTCATCGCCACTGCTCTAGTCTCTGGGTTGACGATCAACACAGATATGAAGTAATTTATGTTTTTGACATCCCCCTTGTACCCCTCTATCATGAATTGCCAATCCAGCCACGCCACGTCCGAGAATTGGTTGAGCTTCGGCAGTCCGTCACCAGTAATTGGCGGCGATACTTTGGTCTTGCCTGCTTCCCTGGGGCTCGTACGGTCCATGCCCATAATGACGCCGTCCTTGATGTTGAGTGAGAAGGTAAATTCAGCACCTGTGGATCGGTATTGCTTGCCATTAACGTCGTATCTTTGATCCTGGAGAGCCGTAATATATATAGGCGTGAAGTGTTGATAGTTAACGATGTGGTTCTGGCCTCCCTGGTATCTGCTTGCATCTGGGTTGATTCCGAGACTCGCGAGAGCGTCACCGATACCCCATGTCCTATAAAAGTCGAAATAATAATCGTCTACGTGATCGAGATCATGAAACATCCAGTTCCATCTATGGAGATCACCAATAGCCTGGAACGGTGATGCTGCCGTGGTACGTCCTGGGTCGTACTGGGGTCCGACTTCGCTGTCGTCGTGGCTCATCGCCCACGAGAGCATACATCCCTTTCTCCTGCACCTATCCCAGACCTCATCAGTCGCAGGTTCATTTTGTGGATTCGGAGGAGGCCGATTTGGCAGACCGGGCGGAGGAGTTCGAGGGGGCGGAGGCGGAGGCCCAGCGGCGGCGAAAACCTTGCCCGGCGCCTCGAGGATCGTGAGATTAGTGGATAGACGATCATCGTTTGAGCAGCTGAATGTTAAAGTCAGCTGCAAGGCTTTAAATCAGAACAAGACGCCGGTACAGGACTATCAAAACCACCGAGACGGAAAGTGGAATGCTTGGGTTATGCCTACTTTTGACAGATCTCGCCTGCAACAGCAGCGAAGAAGGCAGCAAGCCTGACGAATTGGCCGATCCGCATACTTTTCAAGTTCGTTGCTGATGGGTGTAAGGTGAGAGAGAGCAACACCCGGGTGGTGCTGGAATCAGAAGCGTACTACGCAAGCAGGATTGAGCTTTTTTGGTGCGTAGCTCCCGCCTTCACCTTCACTGCGCATGGAGTGAAATGAAAGAAGGCGACAGAGATCCGGGCATTTCCCAGAGGTTGCAACACTGAAAAGTGCGCCCTTGTCGTGTAACGTCTCCCGGTGATCTCGGTTCGCGGGTTGTTCTTTCCTGTTTCGCCAACTGAGCAGTTCGTCATACAGATCCACATACACACGCACCTACCTTCCCCTGGGGCGGCGAGAAGGGCTTTCGATTATCGCTTCGCATTTCCATGAAGAACAGCGACATATACAAAGGCTTGTCCCAACCGAAACGCGAAAACTCTGACATATGTCGTTTTGTCGATCATTAGACTGACATTCCATGTCTGACGATTAACATCTTCCACAGTTGCCGTCCAGCCCTCATGGCTGATAATGCTCAGGAATAAATAAAGGGTATCGTGTAACGCAAAGAACCCCCCCCCATTCGAAGCAAAGAAACAAGCTTGGAACCAGATCAAATGTTCAATTTACCTCCCAACCAGAAACCACCAACCCACAACGCTCCCCAAACTGGCTGAAAGAAAGCTCGAAGCACCGCCGGACCAGGACAAATTCCTGTCAAGCCCCAGCCAATACCAAAAGCTGCAGCTCCGACAACGAATCTTATATCCACATCTTGTAGTGTTTTCGTAGGCAGCGAAAACTTGTCGGCGAACGATGGCGGGCTGGTGAAGCCTTTCATCTGGTTCTCGATCAGGTTGGGCAGGACGCCGAAGAGTATGACCAGAGCGAGTGACGGGTCCCAATGTTGCAAGTTCGGGAAAGAGAAGAAAGCGGCTACCTTTTCGGGGTGCGACATCTGCGAAATGTGAAGACCGAGGGCGAAAAGAAGACCGGAGAAGGACTGCGTCGTAAGGCGTGCAGCAGTATGTGTATCCGCAGGCTGGTGTTTGGCGTCCTTGGCTGATGGTGCAACCGTGACCTGGGCTACGAGTTTGGGTATGGTTCGCGCGGCGAAGATGCTGAATATGGCGAGTACGAGAAGAGATGCGGTTGTCTCGGTTGATGGATACACAGGCGTGTAGCATGGTGCACTGCCGGGGCACATCGGACTCGATAGGCTCGGATTGACGAGGTGATGTGTTATGATCGCCGCGGGAAAGAAGGTAGCAACTGCGATTGCTGAGCGTCCACTCAGTCTGGGGAGTCCACACAGCATGTGTCCGGATGTACACCCATTCGACATCTGGCAGTTCGCGTTAGTGGTGAGAGAGTCTAGTACCAAAGGTCTCTTACCTTTGTTCCCCATCCTATCAGAGCACCAATCGCTAGCGTAAACAGAGCACTCTGTGGACTTGTCTGTACAGCAGGATACTCCGTGATCAACTGCGGTGCTAATGCCTTCAACGGAACATAGCTGGCAGCCATGCCCGTGAAGAAAGCGAGCAGTTCCTTCGTAGGCGCAGAGAAGAGTCGACGCAGATAGCCGCTGAGTCCCAGGATATCGCCATTCTGATAGAGGAGGTTGCTAGTCGCTTGGTGTAGCAGAAAGGCACCGATGGAAGTCTCGACAGGTGTAAACATCCTCTTGATACCGGTATTGTCGTTTCGTCGGGTCCCGTCCCTTAAAGAATCCCACTCTACGCAAGGCCTCGTCCCGTAAGGTGCATCAGCAGAACGAAAGCAGCAAAATCAAAGAAACCCCCTGCCAGCGAAGGACTAACAAGCCGTTTGTAGACCACCACCTCATTATGAAGGACTAGGTCACTAGACCAGATCTTCTCTCGCTAACGGGCCCATGTGCCAATCGCCGTGTAGACATTTTCCCTAGTCGCCGACCTCACGCTGCAAACGTGGACTTAGCCGAGAATGCAATCATCCCGACGATGGATATATCGTGGAGGCGGACTGGTGGCGCCCCGGCAGCAGATACGCATGCACCCCTAAATTGATTTTAAGCGAAGCTAGAGCTAAGGTTATTAATTAAATCTACTTGCAAGCCTCTAATAGTTCTCTTATTACTTCTAAGCTACTTTTTATTAGTAAACTAATAATTCTATAGCTTATAAACTAGTTTTAAAAAAGTAAAGTCTATTACTAGCACACTAAAGAATATATAACTAAAAGTTTTAGTAATTTAAAAGTAAATAAGCTAAAGCTTAAAGCTTTAACGCTACTATTTTTAAAGTAGTTAAAGTTTCTAAATTTTTTAGACTAGCTAAAAAGCTATTCTAATACTAAAGTACTCTATAAAAAAATTATAATATAATTATATATACTTATTAGCTTATAACTAATAAAGTAATATATTTTAAAAGTTTATAGTTAAAATATATATACTAAAATCTTTTTTAGTAAAAGCGTACTCTTTTTATTTTATAAGTTACTACTCTTAGAAATTTAAAAATACGTTACTACGCTAGTATATTAAATAATTTATAAGTCTTCTTAGTAATTATAAGAATAAAACTAATCTCTTACTAGTTATATTACTTTACTACTTTACTAAAGCTCTACTAAGTTACTTTATTATTATTTAATTACTTTTCTCTAAATTATATTACTATTACTTTATAAGTTTTCTTAAAATTATTATAAAAAATAATATTATAGTAAATTTTATAACTTTTTTTATTATTTTTATAACTACTACTATTATATATACTATTAAGGCTTACTTTACTAATAATATAGTATTTACTAGAACTATTAATAGTTATTATTTTATAAGTATTTTATAAAAGTATATAAAATAAGTAAGTTCTACTATTATTTTTTACTAGAACTTTACTTTTAATAATTTTATTAATAAGATATAGCGCTTTTTTTATAACTTAAATTTAAATATTATAAATTACTTAGTAGCTAAAGCTTTATATATTACTAAAATTTTAGAGAATTCTATTAATACGCTAATAATTAAGTACTCTCTACTAAGTATAGATACTATTTATATATACTTTACTATATATATAATTAAAATAAAGTTAAAGCTATACTTTAGCTATATAATATAAAGTTATATTTACTTATAATAGTACGTTTTAAAGAAGATTCTTAAGAAAAGTAATAAAAAATAAAATAATAAAAATAAGGCATTTATAAGTTATTTTTAGTAAGTAGATATTATTATATAAATAGTAGTAGTATTAAAGTTTTACTAAAGCTATTAAAAGTATAAAAGATTATTATTATATTATAGTTATTAGCTACTTAGCTTTTATAGAATAGAAATAGTATTATAGTTATAGTTAATAGCTATAAAATAAATATAGTAAGTTTTATTAGTAGTATACTTATTTATTACGTCTAGAAGTATAGAAATAAATAGAAAATAAATTATTATATTATAAGCTTACTTAGAAAGCTCTCTTAAGTAGTAAAGCTTCTAAAAGCTTATCTTAATTTATACTAGTATAATTATATACTATACTCTTAAGAAGTATCTAAAGATATATTCTATAATATACTTTTTAAGTATTTTATAAAAGTAGGCTATATAGTTATAATAAGCTCTTTTATTATAGCTAAGAATACTAATTATATACTTATTAAAGTATATATAGCGCTAAGAGCTTACTTAGTATATACACGCTAATTATAATATTACTAAAAATTATTTAATTAGCTAAACGCTTTCTATCTCTTACTTAAAATAAGAGTAAGTATCTCTAATTTTTATTAGTACGCTTACTAACTCTAGTAGTATACTTTATTATACTAATTAAACTAAGTATACTTCTCTATATTTATTTTTAAGCTTTCTAGTATTATATTAAAGAAAAATAAGTATAAGTATAAAAATAGCTACTCTTCTAAGAATAAGTAGTTTAGTTTTAGCTTTATAAGCGCTTCTAAAGTAACTTTTTTAAGTTTTAGTTATATAAGCGTATTAAAGGCTAAGCTATTAAGCTCTAATACTTTTAACTTTTTTAAGTACTTAGCTACTCTTTTTAAAATAGATAATTATAAGTACTTAAATAAGCTTTATAGTATTTCTAGAAGCTTTTCTAAGTATAGTTTTTCTAGTAAGAAGTAAAGCTCTAGTTCTATAAGTACTTTTACTTCTACTTATAACTTATTTACTACTTTAACTTATACTTCTAAAAAGTCTAATTTATTTACTAAGTATAGTAATATAGTTACTTAAGAGTAAACTAATAATATTTTATATTATAATAAGCGCGCTATTTAGAAGTATACTAATAAGTAGTATACTTATAACTTTAAAGCTAAAAATAAAGTAAAGTAAAAGTATTATAACTAAATTACTTATAAGTATTATATTACTAGTTAAGCTATAAAAAAGAAGTAGTGTTTATATTATAAGCGTAATAAATAAGTTAAGTATAACTTAAAGTATAGTAATAAAAATTCTAAAGCTAAAGTAGTTACTAAAACTAAGTATATTAAGTTTAAGAATAAGTACTTTATTAATAAGTAGTATACTAAGTAAAAATATTTTAAAATTCTACTTCTAAAGACTATTAAGCTCTATTAAGAAATAGTTCTAGAAAAAGTAATTTACTAAGTATAGTAGTCTACTAATTCTATTAGTATAATAAAAAAGTATAATAATAAGTAGGCTAGTAAGACTACTTAGAAAGAGTATACTAACTATAATTCTAATATTACTACGTTCTCTTAGAAGCTTTCTAGTAATTTCTATAAGTATTCTACTAAAGTTACTATTATAGTTTCTAGTTCTTTAGCTACTAGTAATACTTATTTTAATATTCTATTTTTAGGTTCTTTTAGTTCTAAAAGCTTTATTTCTAAGAATTTTACTACTATTTCTTCTAATACTTCTAAGTTTTCTACTAAAGTTTTAAGTAAGCTTTCTATTTCTTAAAAGAGTAGTATAGTTTATAATACTTTATCTTTCTTTAGCTCTACTTCTAAGAAGAAAAAGTATTCTTTTATTATTATAAGTAGTATAAAGAGCTCTTTTTTTAATCTAGAGCTCTCTATCTAGTCTAATATTTTAGATATTACTAATTCTTCTAATAAGTATAATAATAAGAAGTATAATAGTAAGAAGTATATACTTAATAAAGATTTTAATAATAAAAATAATAGAGCTTTAGTAACTAAGTCTATATATAAGCGCAGCTCTAAGAAGCTTACTTTTATTACTACTAGTAAGCTTTATAAAATAGTATACCTCTAATACTTCTAGTCTATAAGTACTAAAAAGGCTACTAACTCTCTCTATAAAAACTACGTAAGTATTAATAAGAGTAAAAAGTTTAAGTACTACTTTACTAGTGCTATTAGTAATTATAGATATAATAATATATATATATACTTTTTTTTAAGCTTAAGAAGCTTTACTAACTTTTTTTAGACTAAAGTATATAAAGAAGGTTACTAAGTATATAGTTAATTAGTTTTATAATATAAAGTAGAATCTAAAAACTAGTTATCTACTTAATATTAAGAACTTTTACTTTTATAAGCTTATCTATAATTATAATACTACTTTTAAGTAGTATTTTAAGTATAGCTATATAATCTAGAGGTATAGTAAAAAGTAAAGCTTTAATATTTTAAAAGTAGAGCGTAATACTAATAAGTTTAAGTATACTTCTAGTACTAAGCGCTTTTAATCTAACTTTAATAATAAAGCTAATAGCACTTCTACTTCTAAGTAGTACTTTTTTAGTAAGTTTTTATTCTAGTACTTTTACTTTTTAGTACTAATAAGCTTTATAAAACTTTATTTAGTAGTTAAGTAGATTAACTATAATAAGACTATAAATAATAGTATAGCGCTTTCTAATAATAATAATAATAAAAGTATATCTTCTAAAACTATTACTAATAATACTATTATAGTTATTTATAAAAGTATTACTACTAAGCTTAGTTATATATTTACGTTTACTAAGAAAGTTATACTTTCTTAGTTCTTTACTTTAGAGTTTAAGTATCTTTAAGCTTATAAGAATACTACTAATAACTAGTAGTACTTCTCTAACTTTACGCTTAAATAACTAAAAAAGCGTTACTCTAATTATAGTTTTAAGTATATACTTTCTTATCTTACTATACTCTTTAGAGCGTATACTTTAATAAAAGTTTTTTTTAATAAGTAGTTTTTTATAAGCTTATAAGAAAAACTATACTTAAAATATATCTTTTACTACTCTCTAAAAAGAGTAGCTAAAAACTTTTTTATACTTTATAAGCTTTATAATACTACTAATAATTTAATATTCTTTATATTTAACTACTTTTTAAAGTAGATAAATTACTAAACTAATAGATTTTTAGTAAGTTTATTAGCTAGTATACTCTTAGTTTTTAAATACTTAACTCTAAAAGACTCTTTAGTATACTTTTACCTTAGCTATATATTTTAGATATTAATATATCTAAGGCGTATTATTATATACTTATTAGTACTAACTACTAAGTATATAGTCTACTAGTTATTATAAAAAATTATCTATACTACTTCTAAGATAAGTGTAAGCTTCTAAAATAGCTTTTTAAAAGTTATTACTTCTTTACTAATATACTTAAGAGTAAGAAGCTTTACTTCTATAGTTAAAGTTATTATAGTTACTTATTATACTACT